CCTGCCTCAGCCTCCCAAGTAGCTGGGACCACAGGTGCCCACCACAATGTCCAGCTATTTTTTGGTTGCAGCCATCATTGTTGTTTGGTGGGCCCGGGCTGGATTCAAACCCGCCACCTTCGGTGTACATGGCTGGCGCCCTAGCCACTTGGGCCACAGATGCCGAGCCCTTACTCCAATTTTTAAAAGATACTGCGTAATCCAAAAGCTATGCTATGGTTAGAAATTAACTGATCTTTTTTGAAATACCTACTTTAGAGAAAGTAGGTAAACATAATATTTGCCTTGGCTTTTACCGTATAACTCAATGTGCATCTTAACTGGCTTAGAACACTTTTCTGAATGGAGAAGAGCTATGGCCAAGAGATTTCTGTCTTAGTAGTAGAGATGTGAGCTTTGCTCAGGGTCTTGAAATACTATAAAAACAAATTATTTTGAGGAAAATTTATGTAACCAGATGTTTTAAAATCTATATAGCAGCAAAATCTGTGCCACAACATCATCTCTATTTTTCCTTGCCAACAGAGGTGATTGTTCAAAAGTGGAAAGTTATAGTTCAATAGAGAAAAAAATAGCTAGGCAATCAATTGCAGCCAAATTGTTTTCCAATTCCCAATATATACTTTAAATAGATTTGCTTCATTGATACAATAGCTGAAAAGAACAACTCTCAAAGTCTGCTCTTTTTTTTTTCTTTAAGAAAACCTGAGTTGCACTTTTAAGGAAAAAGGCAGAGGTGTGTATTTTTTTCAATTTATACAGAAACAGCCAAATATATTTCATGAATATAATTGACATTCCTCTTCTGACATTAGATATAAAGAACTATGAGTTCAGTTTTTATAAAGAGTATTTCACGTTATTCTCCATGTAAAAAATTCTGCATTCTAATATTCTAATGAAAACAGCAATATTTTATGCAAAAACCCCACGTACATTTATTTACAGGTCTTAATACAGCAAAATGTAAATGAAAACTGAGAACATTCCTCATTAAAACAGTAACTTTGAAATTATTTAATTTGAAAGAGTTTCTCCAGAAAAAAAGATTTGCACGGAATTTACCTTACCTTATAGTTTACACTTTACCAGTACATTTTATGATAATCAGTAACCAGGCTTCTTTTGCGTTTAAATTGAAATGAATATGAATATAAATCAATAACTTTCTTTTATGTAGTAGCAAACAGAGTCAATAAGCCTTTCAAGAAAGAGACTATTTCATTTCCTCCCAGCTTGGATTCACCATAAACTCGATCCACAAATGATATTGGAACCTAGTTAAAAAAATATATGTTAAAAGTCAGTCTTCAAAAAAATTAAGAAGGAGGCATCATAGCAGGTATGCAACCATTACCAATTCAACCAAGACTGGCTTAGTCCCACAACAGAAGTCCTTCAAGTATGATCAAAAGTAGGGGAGTCCTGAAGCAACTATGTGTACCTTCAAGTCTTTACAATTAAGCAAGCACTTTATTATCTAAAAATAGGTCATTTAAACCAAAGCTACAACTATTTAAAAGCACTAATCCTGAGTATTATATTGGTTTATTCAAGTTTCAGGTGGTATTGCAAGGAAAATGCAAAATTAAAATGCCTTTCACTTAGTTTTTCAGTTGTCTGTTAAATCGAGCTATCACTGTGTTTTAGCATTCAGTTAAAAATCTTATAACTTCTACAACAGATGTGGCATCCTAGGGTAGCTATTTTCTTGCGCGGATAAGAGTTTCAGTGTTAAATGAGTCTTCTCTAAGAGCTCTAGAGCCAGCCCTAAATGATACAGATCTTCCATCCCCTTGCTCCATAATTCCTGATCATTTTCATTTATTGAGAGGAAATAGGCACATGGGATTTTTCATTCACTGTAAAATACGAAGTGTGGTGTAATGCTGGTTACGACAAGAGGAAAAGCAGCAGAGACCCAGCCCATAATGCTGACTTGTTCGAAAAAAGGGCTGGAATGGACAAGGAACCACCAATAACTTAAATATTTAGGAGAGAATGTTGCCGTCTGTTACTGTTTAAAATCTTGGTAGCTCAAATACATTAATTTGAAAGGGATTTGAATTTTTACCTTTTAGGGCATGGACATTCTAACTAAACAACTAGATGACCTCTACAGTTACTAAATATCTTATTAGAAAAGTTTTAACTTTACTGTTGCTTTAGGAGGAATACAACATTCTCTTCTGCATCACTTACATACCTCACCAATAGTATAATTCAACTGTCTTGCCCGAACAATCATCTCCATCTGGAAGACGTAGCCTTTAGAAACACATTTTTCTATTAATTTCTGTAGAACTTCTTTGCGGTATAATCTGTAAGAAATCAGTATATATATGACTACCTGGATAATTACACTTGCCTACCTGTATCTTGACCTTTCAAAAACTTCATTCCTGGCTCAGCGCCTGTAGCTCAGCGGCTAGGGTGCCGGCCACATATACCAGGAGCTTGCAGGTTCAAACCCAGACTGGGCCTGCCAAACAACAATGATAACTACAACAAAAAATAGCTGGGCGTTGTGGGGGGTGCCTGTAGTCCCAGCAACTTGGGAGGCTGAAGAAAGAGGATCACTTAAGCCCAAGAGTTGGAGGTTGCTGTGAGCTGTGACACTATGGCACTCTACCCAGGGCGACATAGTGAGACTCTGTCTCAAAAACAAAAAAAACCCTTGTATTTATAAAGCCCAAAACTTTCACGACCAACTGGTACACGTATACAGAAAAGTTCTCATAGCTTGTGAATACGATACATCTGTCCTGAATAAGAAAAGCCATGAAATAACTGCTAAAATAATTTAGGACAATTTTTAAAATGAATTCTCACTATCTGTTAGAGAATGATTTTCCCATCATACTATCAGAAATTATGAAAATGTGGCAAAATTATGATGCAGAACTACCTGTTTTAGTTTTTAAATTTCCTTAAACTTTCCTTTCAAAGTTGAAACTATTCCAAATATTGGAAATGAGTTGATGTTGTTCAATAATGAAGCAATACTATGCATTAGATGATAACCCCGTAATTAACAGGCATTTCCCTGTAAGTGACTGTAATAAGTTTCTAATTCCCAGCAGGATGAGCTTGGATACGCTAGGATAAGGCAGCAACTAGGCATCACAGCATAGAGCCCATCTGGGTAGGATTCAGCTATCATCAACTAAAGTCACAGTTAAGACATTTGTAGTGGTGAACATGCAGCCTGATCTTAAATGGATCCCCAGGCTGAACAGAACTCACCAGATTTACAAAGACAAAGGAGCTGGAAGTCTTATGGGTGAAGTAAATCTCTTTCTTTGGTAACTCTGAAGAGCAAAGTGCTCCCCATTTCAAGAGTCACAGAGAGTTTACAAAAATATAAAAAAAAATCAGTCTCAGTAAGTAGGGTAGTAATTTTTGCCCTTTATTTGGGAGAAAGTTAGGAGAGGCAGTTTGGTATAACTTTGTTCTCTTCAAACTTAAGGCCACCTGGACCTACACTGCCTAAAGGTTTCTTCCATAACCACATTTCCCCCCCTCAAATTCCTTTTCATTTTGTGAAAGGCGCCTATTTCCTAAACTTAGGGATCTAATTATAATGAGTTTTGTCTAATAAAAAGCTGAACTTTAATGCATGAGTTTAGGAAATCACTACTCTTATGAGAAAACAATGAGCTTTAACTATTTAAAACAAGTGTGAAATTAATGGGCTCACTTTGTCTGGTGGATGCTCTGTCCTGTGTACAGAACAACATACCCAATCACTGCTCTCATTATCCAAAATCCACAACTTCCAGGCCATCCTTCATCTACATCTCCTTCCCTTTCCCCACATAGTTCTAATGGCAGCAAGGCACCTTCATCCCATTACTCTCCCCATGTTTTGCTTCGTAGCCTCTACCTAGCTACATCCCATGGAGCTACCCTGGATCTTCATTCAAAGCCATCAAACTGTGGCCTGTGAAATCCACAATGGATTTCTTTCCAGCTGTACAGAGATTCTGCTGAGTGCCACTATTCTTTGCATTGTTGCTACATGGCAATCAGAAATCTTAATCAGATCCCTGATGATTCTTTTGGAACTGAAGGGATGTATTTATTTATAGGGACCCCTTTCTTTTATACACCAAGTTCTGCTTTCTAACCAATTTACTTTTTACTCTACAGAGCTTACCTTTTTATTTGACCTTCAACAGCCAGCTCCTAATTTGTGTGTGTACATGTACATATATAAATATATGTGTGTGTGTGTTTGTGTAAATGTGTGAAAATTCTGACATTTTTAAGGATCTAGATATTTTTCATTAAGTGAAGGAACATTATTTAATGGAAAAAAAGTAATGTAGGCCCTGGGTGTGGTGGCTCACGCCTGTAATCCTAGCAGTCTGGGAGGCTGAGGCAGGTGGATTGCCCTGAGCTCACAGGTTTGAGACCAGCCTAAGCAAGAGCCAGACCCTGTTTCTAAAAATAGCTGGATATTGTGGTGGGCGCCTGGAGTCCTACCTACTCGGGAGGCTGAGGCAAGAGGATCACTTGAGCCCAAAAGTTGGAGGTTGCTGTGAGCTCTGATGCCACAGGTATTCTACCAAGGGCAACAAAGTGAGACTCTGTATCAAAAAAAAAAAAAAAAAAAAAGTAACACATGGGGTTGGAGCCTTAAAATAGATACACAAATATTTTATAGTTTTAGATTTAAAAGAAAAAATCTGGCAATCTTTAGTCATTTGGCATTATTATACAAAGCACTTCATATCTACTGTAGCAAATCTAAACTTTAACACCCCAATCCCCCATATACACACCAAAACAAACATTAAACAACTAAAATATCAAAGCCTTAGTCAAATTGAATGTATTTTTTTAAATATCTGGAAAACAAGATGACTGAAAAAGCTCTACACAAATATTAAAGATGATAAACTTTTCTGTAGACAACCCTATTAAGTATTCATATAAAATGCAGAAAATTACTAATATATGTGTTGTCCTTTGGAGTACTTGGAAATAGCAATGTTCCAAATGAGCAGCTGAGTCTTAATACTGTCAACAAGTACACTAACCCAAACCCTGCTTTCAATTCACTAAAAGGGAAAGCACACTATTTCACCTTAAGATGATGTTTAGGCTTTAATAAGGAATTTCAGTTCGCCTTTTTAGCATTCCAGAATAAAAGCAGGGTGAAAATGAAAAGCATTGCTTTAAAATAGCCATTACAAAGCAAAAAAAAAAAAAAATTCTTTTTAAGAGACAGAGTCTCACTTTGTCACCCTCAGTAGAGTGCAATGGCATCACAGCTCAAAGTAACCTCCCAGGTCTTGGGCTTAGGTGATTCTGTTGCCTCAGCCTCCCAAGTAGCTGGGACTACAGGTGCCTGCCATAACGCCTGGCTATATAAAGCAAAAAATTTAGGAGAGAAGTTATAAATAAAATTTTTCACTGTACCTGAAACTTCCTGTTAAATCAGATGCTCCTGGTCTCAGCAAAATCTGTGTTATAAAATTGGCCCCACGGCTGCCAAATAAAACAGTCAGATATTCCTTATAAAACAAAATTTATAAACAAAAGAAACATATAGAAGAGTGCGAGAAGTGCTAAACTAGTTGCACAAAAATGTTAATTCTCTAGGAACAAAAAGAAATGTTTAGTTAAAGGAGATCTGATCATTTAGAGACTCTTATTCTTTGAAAGTGAACATAGGAAGGACATATAAGCATCTTTCCAAACTTCAGGTAAGAACAAAAGCAGATAATAAACTGGTATTTACCAACAGTCATTATTTAGAATTATGAAAGCCTGACAGTCAGCAAGAGATTAGGGATTTGACAAGGACTTTCCCCTAAGAGATTGAATTTTCACCTAAGTAATAGGCCTGCATAAAAATGATCTGCCATGAACATAGAGGGAAGGGAGACTTATCAGGGAAGCTGTATATAATTTTCTCCCTACATGACTCCAATATTCAGTGGTACTGTAAACTAATCAACCCCTTCATTTCATGTAAGAAGAGTAAGGCTCTTAAATGTTTTAAATGACTTGAGATTCTATAATTAAGTCAGAGAACCTAATGGAATCTTCAACAGGAATGAAGTGGGTAATAAAAATATTAATATTTTTTATAATTAAAAATTTCTATTATATACCCTTTACAGATAGGAATATATATCCTCCTCCTTCTAACAACCTTGAAAAGTGAGTGAGGTAGATTAAATATGATCAAAAATTCCTTGTGGGTCTTTCTGTCAAGATATCGATTCTTTTCCCATCCCTTAATTATGGGCTACTTTGACTAAAAAGTTGATATGGTGTGATCCCCAGAGCCCTGGATTTATGCGGCCTTGCAGTATCTGTCTTTGTATTCTTGGACTCTGCCCTTAGGTTGCCATGTAAAGAAGCTGGTAAGAGGCCATGCACAAAAATACTGAGATGGGTCCAGCACCTGTAGCTCTGTGGTTAGGGTGGCGGTGGAACCCAGCTTGGGCCTGCTAAACAACAATGACAACTACAAACAACAACAACAACAATAATAATAAAATAGCCAGGCATTTTGGCAGGTGCCTGTAGTCCCAGCTACTTGGGAGGCTGAGGCAAGTGTTTGAGGTTGCTATAAGCTATAATGCCACGGTACTTTACCACTGGTGACACAGTGAGATTCTGTCTCAAAAACAAACAAAAAAACCCAGATGCCCCAGCCAACAACCAGTACCAACTGCTAGATGAAAGAAAGTGGCCATTTCATATCTGCTGGCACAGCTGACCTGCAAGGTGAAGGAAGCTGCATGAATACCTCCAGGTAAAGCCAGCAGAGGAATCATGAGCCAATAACTCCTGGTGAAGCCAGCAGAAGCATCACCAGCCAATCCACAGAATTTTGAGAAATAATACTTATTTTAAGCTACTAAGCTTTATGATGGTTATGCAGTAATTAAAAAAAAATTTTTTTCTTTCAATTTTAGGATAAGGAAAGTGAAAGTTAGAAAAGGTAAAATATGGGGGCGGTGCCTGTGGCTCAAAAGGGTAGGGCACTGGCTCCATATGCTGGAGGTGGCAGGTTCAAACCCAGCCCTGGCCAAAAAAAAAAGAACAGGTAAAATATGTAAGGCAACACAATTAAATGACAAAAACAGGATTCTCACCCACATCTGTCCAAAGCCCCACTATGTTATGTTGCTTAGTGAAAGTTGAAATCACAAAGTATCTTACTTAAAATGATAAAGCTCTAAACATGGGGGGAGGGGGGGAACACCCTACTTATTTAGTCCAAAAACATAGAGTAGTTCATGTAAATAAAAACTGAAAGTCAAGTAGAACTAGATCATTTCTACCAAAGGCTCAAAGGTTTATGCTGACTTTTCCTTAATGAAAAACATTAAGACCTACTAATCATTAAAAAAACAAACAAAAAAAACCCTGATCCCACAAATCCCAAGGATCACAGTAATTCAATCCAAATACTTGTTATAAATGCATTTTCAACAGTTATACTAACAGAAATTACAGGAGACACATATACCTGATTATTTTTCTTTTCAAATCCCAGCCATATACACCTCCACTTCCTTTGTAGCGAGTTCCAGAGACAATATCAAAGTTACCCTCCTTTTGCTTCCTGAGAAAAAATACATCAGCTGTCAATTAGAAAAAACCATTGAGCTTTCAAGTTTTTTTCATGAGCTACACAAATGTTAACTTTTAAGAGAAGCAAAGAAAAAAACAATGTCAAGAGAATAGATGAACTGCCTACTAAAAGATCTTTCAAAGTGGAGGTTTTCAAATCTAATTATTATTTTTTTTGAGACGGAGTCTCAAGCTGTCCCCCTGGGTAGAGTGCTGTGGCATCACAGCTCACAGCAACCTCCAACTCCGGGGCTCAAGTGAGTCTCCTGCGTCCACCTCCCAAGTAGCTGGGACCACAAGCGCCTGCCACAATGCCCGGCTATTTTTTGGTTGCAGTCGTCATTGATGTTTGGCGGCCCAGGCTGGATTCAAACCCACCACCTTAGGTGTATGTGGCTGGCAGCCATTTGAGCCACAGGCACTGAGCCTATTTTTCTTTTTGTTAAAGACAGTCTCACTCTGCTGCCCAGGTTGCCTTATAGCTCACTGAAGGCTCAGCCTTAAACTCCTGGGTTCAAATGATCCTCCTAGCTAGGACTACAGGCATGTGCCACCACGCCTGGCTCATTTCTTTTTTGTAGGGACAGGGTCTCCTTATTGCCCAGGTTGGTCTCAAATTTCTGGCCTTGAGCAACCCTCCTCAGCTTCTGAAAGTGCTAGGATTACAGGAATGAGCCACTGCGCCTAGCCTGTTTTTCCTTTATTTTAAAACCACAAAATAGTAGTATTTGTTAAATGTACCAAATGAAACCACCCTAAAACCTATTAACATTTTAAGTTTTCCCAATTTCTCCTCCATTCTGTTCTTGCCTGTCTTGAAGTAAATAATATTAAAACAGGGCAGCACCCGTGGCTCAGTGGGTAGGGTGTCGGCCCCATATACCGAGGGTGGCAGGTTCAAACCCGGCCCGGCCAAACTGCAGCAAAAAAAACCAGCTGGGTGTTGTGGTCCGTGCCTGTAGTCCCAGCTACTCGGGAAGCTGAGGCAAGAGAATTGCCTAAGCCCAGGAGTTGGAGGTTGCTGTGAGCTGTGTGATGCCATAGCACACTACAGAGGGCCATAAAGTAAGACTCTGTCTCTACCAAAAAATAAATAAATAAATAAATAATAATAATAATACTAAAACAGCCTGGTCCTCCTCTAGATCATTTTCTTTGCTTAAAGAAAGGTGACTCAGGGCGGCACCTGTGGCTCAAAAGTAGGGCACTGGCCCCATATGCTGGAGGTGGTGGGTTCAAACCCAGCCCTGGCCAAAAACTGCGCAAAAAAAAAAAAAAAAGGTGATTTAAACACCAAGGGTTTTGGGTTGCATTCACGAAACTGGAATCCAAATAAGTACACTTTGTGACTTGTTTTTTGTCTTTTTATAATATATACCATAAAATCATGTACATCCCTACATCCAAAAGAGATCTTGTCCATTCTTTAAGAGATGCAAAAATATTCCACAGGATATTTACAACTCTATGGTCATTTCCATGGTGGGTTGTCTCTACTGCCCCCACAACAACCCAGCAATAAATAGTGCTGCAATAACATTCTTAAAAATTTATATTCTGGTGCATAGACTACCTCAAATGGAATATATCACCCAACAAAGTTTATGCGTATTTTTAATTCTAACAAGGTACTTTCCCCAAAAGATCATAGCATCTCCTACTTCCTTCAGCAGTATTTGTCCCTTTTGTTTTTACCATGTTATTGGTACTGGATGTTACTGCTCTAAAAGTTTTCAATTTTGACAAATTAATGGGTAATAAAATAGTAACACACAGCTATTTTAATTTGCCTTTTTTTTTTTTTTTTTTCCAGTTTTGGGCCTGGGTTGGGTTTGAATCTGCCACCTCTGGTAGATGGGGCCAGTGCCCTACTCCTTTGAGCCACAGGTGCCTCCCCAATTTGCATTTTCTTGGTTACTTCCAAGGTGAACATCTTTTTTTAGTTATTAGCCATTTGGATTTCTTCTATATAGGGTCCATTTGTATCTTTTCATCCATTTTCTACTCTAGTGTTTCCATTTCCTTATTAGAGACTTTTGTGTATTGGAGATCTAAGCAGAACAGGTCTAGAGTGACTTCAGGCAGGGATCGAAGAATGAGCAGTAGTCAGCCATCAAGAGCAGGAAAGAGCATTTCAGGCAAAGGAACACAGGGCTTTGGGTGAATTCAGAAATGAAAGGCGCGTAGCTGAGGCATAGACAGCAAAGGGGAAGGGTACAAGAGGAGTCAGAAAGGGAGGCAGGGGCTACATCACACAGGGGTTTGAGAGGCAAGGAGTCTTCTCCCGGGTATCAGTGGGAACTCCCTGAAGTTATCTACAAGGAGAGGGAGTGGTGGTATGGTCTGATTCTGTTTTTGTATATTTAGCTTTTAGGTTTAGAATAGCTTCTAAATTCTTATTTGCAGAAGTTCTGTGATCTCAAGTTTTCTAAGATTATATCACCTGCAAATAAATATAATTGTGTTCCCTTTACCTGTATTCAACTCTATTCTAATCCTATTGCAGTACTTAAAATCTCCATGTTTAATGATAGCCAGGAATATATACCTTAATAAATCTATAGGAAATTACATCCACAAATATACCTTCTACCAAATAATGCTTTCATGTAGCAGAGTAAGAATCCTATAAATTCTGAAAGATTTCAGCAGGTTTTCTTTTTTATTAATTGTTTCTTTCTTCTTTTTTTTTTCAGAGACAGAGTCTCAAGCTGTCACCCTGGGTAGAGTGCCATAGCATCACAGCTCACAGCAACCTCCAACTCTTGGGTTGAAGCAATTCTCTTGCCTCAGCCTCCCAAGTAGCTGGGATTACAGGCGCCCGCCACAATACCCAGCTATTTTTTGGCTGTAGTTGTCATTGTTTTTTGTTGGGCCCAGGCTGGATTTGCACCCACCACCTCTGGTATACGTGGCTGGTGCCTTACCCGCTTGAGCTATAGGCTCCAAGACATTATTAATTGTTTCTTATCAGTTTTAAAAGATTCCTTAAAGTGGGTGGTGCCTGTGGCTCAAAGGAGTAGGGTGCTGGCCCCATATGCTGGAGATGGCAGGTTCAAACCTGGCCTTGGCCAAAAACTTCAAAAAAAAAAAAAAAAGATTCCTTAAAGCATGTCAGAAGAAAAGCAATTAGGATTAAAAGTTTCCATTTCATTTCCTCTAAACCACTGAGGCTTCATTAAACTCTTTCACTTATTAAGCTTTTATCTTCTTTGTGTTGACACACTCCCCTTTGCTTTTGTTTTATCTTGTCTGGCTGTCCAAAAGTTCTGGAATCATTTAGTTCAAATACTGAAATACTTAATAGGCAATTACTTGATTTTTAATGATGACTTTGGAGGAATAATCATCACTAGGTGCTAGTCCTTTCTGTATTCAAGTTGAACCCACCTCCTAGATTAGATGTAGCAGTAACATTTTTTGGCCATTGAAAGCTCTTGAATACTGTGACCAACACCTCCCCCAAAGAATTGGTTCTTAACTTACTGAAATTTTCCCCAAACGGTATATAATTCTGACCTGGCTTTCTTTTTATCCTTCAGTTCCCTAATGCTAATGTTGGATAAATAAAGCACGTATAGCTACAGGCTTTCTACTTAACTCTTTGGTTTGCTAAAAATGCTATTTAACCTCACACCCTTCTCCTTAGTCCTTTATTTTTGTTTGCCTCTATTCTTTCTTCTATAATGAAGTTTTCTCACCTATTGCACAAGAAATTGCGACGTGTATTTTCATATAATCTAATTTTGAAATTTCATATAACTTGATTTTTAATTTGAATAAGAATTCTATTTCTTCCAAAATAGAATTTTTTCAATTCACTATTTGAGATAGTGTTTGTATTAGAAATGGGTCACCTTTATTATGCTTAAGTGTTTTCCTTCTATTTCAACTTTACAGTTTTACTAGAAAAGGGTAGGGCACTTATAGACCAAGTCACACTGCTTGCTTTCTTTTTTTTTTTTAAGACAGTCTTACTATGTCGCCCTTGGTAAAGGGCTGTGACATCACAGCTCACAGTAACCTCAAACTCTTGGGCTTAAGCGATCCTCTTACCTCAGCCTCCCAAGTAGCTGGGACTACAGGCACCCACCACAAACGGCTATTTTTTGGTTGTAGTTGTCACTGTTGTTTGGCAGGCCCCGGCCAGGTTCGGACCGCCAGTCCACATGTATGTGGCTGGCACCCTAGCTGCTGAGCTACAGGCACTGAGTCACACACTGCTTTCTTTGTGAGCATGATAAATGAATTATATTGAGAAAGTACTAGTAATGAGCCACTTCTGGCATTCCTGGAATAAACCCTATTTGTTCATGGTGTTTTACTCTACTGATTCAAGACTTAATTCTATTTTACAGGAAAGCTGCCTTCCATCTTTTTCTGTGATCTGAAGGACTTTAGATAACGAAGGAATTATCTGTTGGTGCATCCCTCAGAGCTCCTAAGAGACATCATTTAGTCACATATCTACATTCCCAGTCCCAAATCTATATGTTGGTTATACTGTTCATAGAAAACTTGGAAATTACATTTAAAAAAAAAAAAAAAAGAGAGAGATGAGGCCTTGCTCCGTTGTCCAGGCTAAAATGTAGCATCTCCTGGGTTCAAGCATCCCTGTCTTAGCCTCACAGGTAGCTAGGAACATCACCACTCCTGTACAATTTGCATGTGCATTTTTAACTAATGAAGAATGAAATATAAAAATAAGTCCAAAACCAACATATAAGAAATGGTTTAGTACCTACCTAATGAATTCAGGAATAAATTTTGGCTGAAATTTAGAAAGAATAAATAGTCAAGTCAGTAAAAGGGCCAGGACTATCATAAATAGCTAATAAAGCAATATACCACTTACATGGTGTGAGAGATCAGCATCCATAATAATTATGTAGTTTCCCGTGGCATGTTTCATTCCATGAATATATGCAGTCCCTAAAAATAAGAGCATTCATATCCATTAAAGAAAATAACCAGAAATGCTTTAAATAGGAAAGAAATTGTTTAGCACCTAAAAAGTAAACATTAGTTCTCTAAAAGTGATACTAATTGGAAACTTTTTAAGTATATAGTTCCCATATATCATATATATATATCACGATACGTATATATATCAAAAAGGTAGCTGGCCACCCCCTCGTCCTATCAATTTAATAGAAAAGATCATAAGCACATTTCAATTTAGCAAAGAAATGGTATAAAAGTCTTTTTTTTTTTTTTTGAGACAGAGCCTCAAGCTGTCGCCCTGGGTAGAGTGCCATGTCATCACAGCTCACAGCAACCTCCAACTCCTGGGCTCAAGCGAGTCTCCTGCCTCCACCTCCCAAGTAGCTGGGACCACAGGCACCAGCCACAAGGCCCGGCTATTTTTTGGTTGCAGCCATCATTGTTGTTTGGCGGGCCCGGGCTGGATTAGAACTCGCCAGCTCAGGTATATGTGGCTGGCGCCTTAGCCGCTTGAGCCACAGGCGCTGAGCCTAAAAGTCTTAAAAGTACATAAAACTTCTGTATTCTCATGGTTTAAAGCCAACTTTCTTATGCTAGCACTTCCTTAGTGTCGACCTAAGATACTGAAGAGTCTAGATCTCTTCTCAGAGCTCCAGATCTACTTATTAGCTTCCTATTTGATGTCTCTACTTGGATATTTTGGAAATCTCAAACATAACATTTCAAAATCATCTCCTATCTTCTTAGCCTTCTAATAGGCTTCCTTAGTGGACAGCGCCAACTATCCACTTATTCCACCTACAAGTCTAGGGATGATCCCTGCTTTTCAGCCTTTACCGATGATTTCTAAACTATAATTAAGTCTTATAAATGCTATATTCAAAACAGCTATCAATTCCTTTCTTTCATCTCCACCCTAGTCCCAGGCACTACTTACTTAGCAAGTCTCTGCTTCTGCTCTTCCCAACATTCTAAGTCCATTTCTGTAAAAGTTGTCCACTGAGTGTCTTCTACACTGTAAGCCTGGTACAGTAGACCCCTGCTCTGGTATTTGGAACCAAAGGCACAGCTGGCAATTACTCAGCCACTTTCACGGCTGAAAGTCCCTCAGAAATTGGTTAAGTTAGAATAACTGGTCAAAAGCAGGATTTGGGCATTCCCACATTTCAAGCCTAAACCTATCACAAGTATCTTATTGGCAAGGTTGAGCTCTCTTAACTTCTTCTTCTTCTTTTTTTTTTTTTGCAGTTTTTGGCTGGGGCTGGGCTTGAACCCACCACTTCCAGCATATGGGGCTGGCACCCTACTCCTTGAGCCATAGGAGCCACCCTCTCTTAACTTCTTTTGGTGGAGAAGGGACTGTGTATAGTTTTGGGGGATATCTCTAATTGGTTGGTGATTCTTGGCTGCCTTCATGAAGTTTCCATATTATTTCAATCCCAAAGAACCTTCTAGATTCAGATATTCAAAACATTTGATGATACCAGTAAACAGATGGTCTTCAGGATAGCAAACTTGAATTTTTAAGAATTTCCTGATTGGACTCATGCTGATCATCACCCCAGCACTATTGGAGGCCGAGGCAGGATGACTGCATGGGTCAGGAGTCCAAGATCAGTCCAGACAACATAACGAGACAAAATTAGCCAGGTATATATTGGTAGATGCCTGCAGTCCTAGCTAATCAGGGGTTAAGGCAGGAGAACTGCTTGAGTCCAGGAGTTTGAGGCTGCAGTGAGCTATGATCTCACCCTTTACTCCAGCCTGAGTGACAGAGCAGGACCCTATCACAAACAAACAAACACACAAAAAAATTGTGCTTTCTCTGTGCTTTCCAAATTTTCTATTAAAAGTATACTAATTCTCTGGCCAGGCGCAGTGGCTCTCATCTGTAATCCTAGCACTTTGGGAGGCCTAGGCAGGTGGACTGCTTAAGCTCAAGAGTTCAAGAAAAGTATACCAATTCTCAACATGAGCAACCATGACCAACTGAGAAATAAAGGCAGTTTCATTTCTGAATTACTGAGCTCTTCTCAGACATTCTATAATGTAAGATGTCTAAAAACATCTTGCTTTTCTTAGAGATAAATAATAACCTTAAATTTGTAACTTGAAGAATGTTCAAAGGTTCAAAGCTAAGGTGCTGTGCTGGTCGAAATGTCTGCCCTCAGATCTATTATCTGGCCCTTCCCTACTCTGTGCTATACCATAGGGAACTACATTTCCCAGGTTCTCTTGTCAACTGGCTTCCAGGTAGCTTTGGGAGGCAGAGGTGGAAGACTATAAAGAGGATAAAAGGGAAAAGTTAGGTGTCTCCCCCTCCGTTTCTTTCTCAGCACTGACTGGGTATCTTCCATGGCTTAGGTCCTGCCACAAGCAGCCCCCACCCCACCACTCTAGGCAGGCCCAAGTTCTTGGGCTCTAAAAACACCATCTCCTCCCCCCATTGCTCCATCCCTAGAAGTGATAGTGACCTCCAGCTGTTGCTAATAACTTAGTAATCTAACTGTTCTTTTGGGGTTCTCAGTAATTCCTGTTGTAACCAGATTCTCTGTATTAAATTCCCTATGCTACAAAAAACTTATTTTGTCTTCCTGAGTGAGCCCTGACTGATATAGGCAGCTCAATTTAAACAATTTAAATGTCATTAAGATCATTATAAACCATCAGAGGAGGTGACTGTATTTTGGCCCTGTTCCAAACTGGGAAAATGCATACTGGATAACTTACCAAGGCAAGAAGCAGTTACGTAGGGTAAGAAGTTCTACTCACCTAGCCCCAACTTTTTCTCTCGTGGTCTTAGTAGCTGTAGGAATAAGAAACTACATTTCACACAGTTAAATAAGAATCTGATTACTTTAAAAGTATCTGATAGAAAACCAAATAGTTTAGCATAGCTTCTGAGAAAAAGCATCATTCTATAACCCCTAACCTACAGGCAAAATTATAAGCATTTTTTCTTTTGGTGCCATATGTCATGTTTTAAGTAAGATGTCTTTACACCTATTACTTGATCTAACATTTAAAATAATACCTACTAATCCTTCTTAGAAAAACTGATGATTTAACTCATTTTATGAGTTAAATAAAATAATGAATTAAATCCTCAGTTTTTACTTGGGATATCTGATGTTTGTTTTCTCAATTCCCTTTTGTGATTTTTAAATGCTGAAACCATTCTTCCTCCATCAATTTATCCTGACTTTACCCTTGGATGTCCTTATTCTCATCCTATACTGGTCCACTAATATTTTATATTCTAACAAAAAGGTTAAATTCTTCCCCTTTTCTTACCCTTTTTTTTTTGAGACAGTGTCTCAAGCTGTCACCCTGGGTAGAGTGCTATGGTATCACAGCTCACAGCAACCTCTAACTCTTGGGCTTAAGTGATTCTCTGCCTCAGCCTCCCAACTAGCTGGGACTACAGGCATCCGCCACAACGCCCAGCTATTTTTCTGTTGCAGTTGTCATTGTTGCTTTAGCTGCCCCAAGTCAGATTCAAACCTGCCAGCCTTGGTGAATGTGGCTGGCACCCTACTCACTAAGCCAGGGGCGCTGCCACCTTTTCTTACTTTTTGTTAATTACGTAGTCTTTATAAACTTTTTGCTTCATATTAGGACCCTGACTTTATTGTTTAGCCTTTTCCTTTTGGCTGGACAACTAAAAGGTCAAATGTCAAGGTTCTGAGACTGTTCTAAGTTTCTGAGGTATTTGTCTTAGGGTAGACTCCCTGCTGAGTATACCTTGTGTCCTTTTGCATCTGCCAATGTACAATTAGGTTGTCTCAGACTGCCAATATGTCAACAAAGCATTTTTAGCTTAATTCAATTAGGATGGCTCTGTATGTTTATTTTTCTAAAAAAACACTTAACTACATGCAAGCTGCTATAGGTTTCCTTTCCGAGTATTTCTGTCTATCCTTTCACTCTTAGTCTACATGTGTCCTTCCAAGTAAAGCAAGTCTCTTGAAGGCAGCAGATAGCTGGGTCTTATTTTTTAATCCACTTCAGGTTTTTCAATTGGAGAATTTAATCAATTTTTATTCAAGGTAATTACTGAAAGCTAAGAATTTACTACTGACATTTTGTTAAGTGCCAGTAGTCCTACAGATCCTTTGCTCCTTTCTTTCTCTCTGCCTTTCTTTCTAAGTGATTTTCTCTAGTAGTATGTTTTTAGCCCTTAATTTTCACCTACTTATTATCTACTAGGTTTTTCCTTTGTGATTACCATGAGACTTAGAAAAAGCATCTCATAATGATAACAGGCTATTTTAAGCTAACACCTTAACTTTAATTGCTTAAACAAAAAACTCTTTATACTTTAACTCCATCTGCCTCCCAATATTGGAAATTTTTAAGGTCATAATTTACATCTATAGCACCAATACATCTTGAACAAAAATGATTAAAATACAATACTGTCTGATAAGAGCTTACAGGAAGGAGAAATAAACATTCAATCATTTATAATTACACGTCAATGTCAGATTACAGCTATATTTTATTTTATTTTGTGGTTGGTAGTTACTGACAAAATGCTGGCCTCATCTGGTATCTGTCCTGAAAAAGCAAATCTTGTAAAGCTTATCTGAGATATTGTATACCTCTGCTCCAGCCAGAAAATCCTTCTTCTTTAAAAAGGTTAACTTTGTCATAGTTTACCCTTCTTATCTGCAGGAGATATGTTCCAAGATCCTTCATGGATGCCTGGAACCCCAGATGGTACCAAAGCTTATATATACTGTTTTTTCCTATACACAAATACCTATTCCAACAATAAGGTTTAATTTATAAATGAGGTATAGCAAGAAATTAACCACAACAATAATTAAATGGAACAATTATAACAATGTACTGTAATAAAAGTTATGCGGATGTTGCCTCTGTCTTGATATATCTTATACTTTACTCACCTGTTTTCAGTTGGCCACAAGTAACAAACTGCTAAAAGCAAAACCATGGACAAGGGGGACTACTATCCTTACATTTTTCAGAATCTTCAAAGGTTTACTTAAAATATTAAACAAGTTGCATATAATACAGTACTACGAAGCAGTTAAAAGAAATAAGGTAATCTGTTAACAAAAAAAATCTCCAATCTTCTATAGAAGTACTAACGATACACAAAGATGACACTTACAGTTAGGAACAACAAGCACATAGAACCTAGTCCTAGATTTGGCACACACACATATGCATAAAATGTATCTGCAAGATCAATCATAAGTAAGAGTTCATCCAAAGGCTCACTCTTTTGCTGTGAAATTACCACTGGTACCCCATCATACCGAAGATAATGTAAACTTTTAAGTGCAAAGAAAATGCATTTAAATCCCAAGTATATAAGATGCTCGTCATCTTTCCAGGTTCTACAGACTAAATAAAGAGATCACATTTAGACATTATTCACTTCTTATCTTTATCCTATCTAAACACAATTTATATGACAGAAACATGTTCATATAACTCACGATTCTGTCTGCCCCGTAAATCTTCTCCAACTGCTCAGCAACGTCCCTTGTTCCATCTGGGCTTCCATCATCTATGATTATAACTTCATAATTGATGCCACTGAAATAAAAAAATTTAAATTTGTATTAATGTTTGAAGACAGTATTTTCAAATTTAAAAATAATTTTAAAATTACTAATTCCACAACATAAAAGTAGAGTTTTATTGCCATATTAATTACTAAGGAAAACTTCATTATCAAATGAACTATGTGTCAAATATTTAATGTTTTATCTACAAGCCCAGTATGTTGCTGAAACATGCCACTGTAAAGTCCTGAGATAGTAAAGAATTCTTGGCCAGGCACAGTGGCTCATACCTGTAATTCTAGCACTCTGGGAGGCCGAAGCAGGTGGAATGCCTGAGCTCTTGCTTCGAGACCAGCCTGAGCAAGAGCAAGACCCTGTCTCTACTATAAAAATAGAAAAATTAGCCTTGTGTTGTGACAGGTGCCTGTGGTCCCAGCTACTTGAGAGGCTGAGGCAAGTGGATCATTTGAGTCCAAGAGTTTGAGGTTGCAGTAAGCTATGACACCATGGTACTCTACCCAGGGTGACAAAGTGAGACTCCGTCTCGGGGGGGGGGGAGGGGAAGGGAATTAATTTGTATACAGAAAACATCTTTTTGGTTAAAAAGAAAATTACATAATAATAAATATATATATCTACACACATATATATATATATATATATATATGAAATTTTATTTACCTACTCTGGAAATAGAATTGTGAAACCACTAATATCAAATATTAGTGCCTGTGGCTCAAGGAGTAGGGCGCCAGCCCCATATACCAGAGGTGGTGGGTTCAAACCCAGCCCCAGCCAAAAACAGCAAAAAAAACTATTTCAAAAGTACTCTTTACACAGCAACTCAAATCAAACTCAGTACCTCTGAGTGATTGTTCTTTTAAATTTAATCCACATAGATTTAAATAACAATCAGGAATAAATGTGATTTAATTTCACCCTTAAAAAAATCTCATTTTAGAAGGGCGACACAGACTTCCAGAGCACTATTTCAAACAGTAGTGTCTATTATCCTACACTATCAAATTAGAAAAAAAAGCAAAATAGAAATACAGAAGATTTCACTGTGCCTAAGAATTAACATGTCACTCTCCATTAACTTCAAATAGGTAAGAGTAGTCGTTTCTACTGTATTTTAAAAACAAACCAACAAAATACCTAAAAAATACGTGGATGTACAACTGATTACCATCATGTGTCCCTCTGCTCCTCCAAGACATTTATTTTGTTAACTGTATCTGGGAAAGTTAAGGGGAAAGAAAAGGAGGCATAGCCAAACCTCCACAATGTAACATTCTATCTCCTTTTGGGCTTTATTTAGGAAACATAAGCAAAGAAACCCACCAGAAAACACATTCTAAGGCTTTTAAGAGTCAGTCCCAGCAAACCTTTCAAGAAAGCAAAACTCAGTGCATCTATTCTCCAAGAATAGATACAAAGGGTAGAGCTCCCCAAGGTACCTTATATTTGGGCCCAGTACTTTGCATACCAAAACATGTAAGATGATTTAAAAAGACATGCTGAAAGACATATTTCATAAACAAAATGGAGTCGTTTACAAGCAAAATCATTCTGCTAGTCCACTTTAGAACAGCCACACTGAGAGTGAGGCAGTTTAAAAGAATTAAGTTGAGCTGTGCATATAAGAAAATAGTTGTATTTCCTTTATTATATTTTCATTTTGATTTTAAAAGATCCAGTCACTAACCATTTAAATATAAAACTGCACTAAATTAAAAAATTAGAATACAGCAAAAATATTGTAAAATTAGAACACAAACCCTGAACAACATCAGCTCCGTGATAGTTAATTTCTCTAATTTAGAAAAGGTTCGCAAGAATCAAAATAAAAAGATTAACAAATAAATGGAAGAAAAGATATAAATTTTAAAACTTTGAGGGGCTATATATGTGAAGACAGTTATTCTATGAAATACAATCAAAACAGCAATGGTTTTCACAAACCAGTTTTTCCAACAATGCCAAGTTTAACATTGTTCAGGTTGGCTGGTTGGTGGGGAAACAGGCAGGCTAAAGATTAGAATCTTCAGTTGGTATAATCTTTTTTGGAGAGCAATTTGGAAGTAACTGTCAATGTTAAGTACATCTTTGTCCATCCACTAATTCCACCTCGAAGACTTTATCCATGATACACTCATAAAAGTATGAGTGTGTCTGGTGCAACATTCGTTTAATAAAGGAGCAGTATGTGTCATGCATTTTTTTCTAAATGATGGAAAAGATGTTATGAACAAAGTCCCTGCTCTTACTTGTAAAGTAAACGCCAAAAAAACAAAAACAAAAACCTCTGGAAATCATCTGTTCATTGACATGACCCAGTTAAATAATACAGTCACACATATATACTACTGCCTAAATAAAAATAATCTTCTATGTTTGTATGTGCTGATACGTAAAGAGCTTCAAAGATTTCACTGCATATGCAACTGTAAAATTAGTTACTTTGTACTGATTCCAGGACTTTCTAAGGGATTGCATAACACTTTCGAATTCAAACTCCAAATCTCTCCCTCAGTTTCTAAGATCCACACCAAACATTCACCAGTGATCAGAGAAGATGACCTTCTGCTCTCTCCTTTCCAGACAGGTTATCGTGCCCAGCAATAGCTACCTAACCCTTACGGACCAAACATGCTTATATAAGCACTCGGCACCAGGGTGGCCACTGGCCGCGCTTGCTCAGATTCCTGGCTCTCGCCGGGATCCTTACCGCCTAGAGAGAGGAGTGAGGTTAGGCTTTCAGCCTCGGTCCAACTTAAAGGGTGGTCAAAGGCGGGAGGAGGGAAACGAGAGGCGTTTATAATAAGGATAAATGAATGTCACGAAACACAAGGGCAAAAATGAGAAATCAAGACACGGGAAAGAATCCGAGAACCATCTGCCTCTGATTTCCTCAAAGGGTCGCCCTCAACCCCGAGGACTCCTGCGTGAGCCCAGAGAAAGGCTGGGCAGGGCCGCCTCGCGCAGCCAACTGCCGACACCCAGGCGGGGGAAGCCAGCTCATCTCACTCCTGGGGAGGGCGGCCGGGGCGCTACCTCTCTGAGAAGCTTTTCACCAGCAGCCACACGATGAGTGGTAGGTTCTCGCGCTCGTTGTAGGTGGGCAAAAGCACCGAGTACTTGTCCTGGCGTGGATTGCGCACCTCCAGCTCCCGCCGAGACCGGGGAGAAGAACGACTGGCTTCCGAGGAGGCCATGGCGAAACTGCGTGAGATGACGGAAGCGGAATTACGTCAACGCGGCTAGGGGCCCGGCGGGTCGGACTATACCAAATTTCAGAAGAGGGTGAGTTTGTGTGATTGAGTTCTACTTCTTCTAGGGTCTCTGTGTGATTCTCTTAGAGATATTTAGGATCTATGCATGACTAAAGTTTAATATGAACGTATTCCAGTTTCTTCTGGAACTACGTATTTATTCTTCTCCTTTTCCCAAGAGCCACGAAGTTTTTTAGTTTATCCCAGTCGCTAGGCGACAATAAGCCGGAAACGGAAATGCCTTTCCTGACAATTTCCGGAAGAGGTCACCATGGCTGCCAGAGAGAAGGTACTGGCCTTACAAGCTGAAGTTGCCCAACGTGAGGAGGAATTGAGTTTCTTGAAGCAGAAGCTGGCGGCGGCTCTTTTGGCGGAGCAAGAACCACCGCTAGAACATCTGGATCCACTGTCGCCGCTGCCGCCGAAGGCCGCCCTCTCCCGAGATGAAATTCTGCGCTATAGTCGGCAGCTAGTTCTGCCTGAGCTGGGCGTGCACGGACAGCTTCGCCTGGCGACCGCATCCGTGCTTATCGTGGGCTGCGGTGGGCTCGGTTGTCCACTGGCGCAGTACCTGGCAGCAGCCGGCGTGGGTCGCCTTGGCCTCGTGGACTACGACGTGGTAGAGATGAGCAACCTGGCCCGCCAAGTGCTTCATGGCGAGGCACTGGCCGGCCAGGCCAAGGCCTTTTCAGCTGCCGCCTCTCTGCGCAGGCTGAATTCTGCAGTGGAGTGCGTGCCCTACGCCCAAGCCCTTACGCCAGCCACAGCTCTAGACCTGGTTCGCCGCTATGATGTGGTGGCCGACTGCTCTGACAATGTGCCTACTCGCTATCTGGTTAACGATGCATGTGTGCTGGCCGGTCGCCCTCTTGTGTCTGCCAGCGCCTTGCGCTTCGAGGGCCAAATCACAGTCTACCACTATGACGGTGGGCCTTGCTATCGCTGCGTATTCCCGCAACCACCCCCAGCTGAGACAGTGACCAATTGTGCGGATGGCGGGGTGCTCGGTGTCGTGACTGGTGTCCTTGGCTGCCTGCAGGCGCTGGAAGTGCTGAAAATCGCTGCGGGTCTGGGCCCCTCTTACAGTGGCAGGATGTTGCTCTTCGATGCCCTCCGAGGGCATTTCCGTTGTATTCAGCTCCGGATCCGGAGGCCTGACTGTGCTGCTTGCGGTGAGCGGCCCACTGTGACTGACCTGCAAGACTATGAAGCCTTTTGTGGCTCCTCAGCCACCGATAAGTGCCGCTCCCTGCAGTTACTGAGCTCGGAGGAGCGGGTTTCTGTCACCGACTATAAGCGACTTCTGGATTCTGGGGCACCTCACTTGTTGCTGGACGTCAGGCCCCAAGTGGAAGTGGACATCTGTTGTTTGCCTCATGCCCTGCACATCCCTTTGAAACATTTGGAACGGAGGGATGCAGCGAGCTTGAAACTTTTAGGAGAAGCCATCGGGGAAGGGAAGAGGGACACACAGCCAGGGGCTGCTTTTTCCATTTATGTTATTTGCAAACTAGGAAACGACTCCCAGAAAGCTGTGAAGATCCTCCAGTCCTTAACAGAAGCCCACGAGTTAGACTCTTTAACAGTTAGGGATGTTGTGGGGGGCCTCATGGCCTGGGCTGCCAAAATTGATAGAACATTTCCACAGTACTGAGATGACAAGAATAGTCTGAGAAAGCTGTGAATTGCCATAACACATCAAAGATTATTTATGTACATTTTTTCAGTAATATAGAGAAGAGCCTGGGATTCTACGTTGTTTGTGAATTCATCGGCTCCATTTTTTACAAGGAGCTTTTCGATTGTAATGTGTTAGATGACTGGCTTAGTAATATGCTGAATTATATTAATACTGTTTCTGAGAACTGCCATGTGTTTTTAGCAGTTGCAGGATGCCTTGAAATGTAAGATGTAAAGTGACAGAATTTTGTGTTTTAAACTGCAGATGATTTGCCTGTCCTGCCTTTTTCCACCTGCTTCAATCAAAAGACTCTTAATCATTCATCTTATACTTGGAATTAAGACGTCATAAACTTACTCTTACTAGATTGATCACAGGTGATATACTCAAGGTCATTTCATTGTTTAGTAATATATTCATCGGGTCTTTTTTCTACTTTAAATGATAGAGTATATCCTATCAGAAATAAGTGTTTAATATGTCAGTTGTGTTAATTATCTGGGAAGTGGTCATTCTATTTAACATTTTGAATTAATATCAAAATGAGATCTTTACAAAATAAATGTTTGTAGTCTGTTGTTTTCCCTTATAAATTGTTTATGTTTTGTTAAAGTTAGCTTCAAGCTCCACCGTACGTTTACACATAAAACACTTTCTAAACAACTCAGCGCCAGTAGCACAGTGGTTACGGTGCCAGCCACATACACCAAGGGTGGTAGGTTTGAGTCCAGGCCAGCTAAACAACTGTAACAAAAAACATAGCTGGGTGTTGAGGCGGGCGCATGTAGTCCCAGCTGCTTAGGAGGCTGAGGCAAGAGAATCACTTAAGCCCAAGAGTTTGAGGTTGCTGTGAGTTGTGACTCCACGACACTCTACCCAGGGCAACATAGTGAAACTCTGTCTCAAAACAAAACAAAACAAAACCAACTTCTAAAGTATATACTGTGATTTTGCTTGCTTTGGAATCTTCAAGTCCAAGTCAGAACATTTAATTTGTCTTTTCTATTTTGATTTACTCTTTTATTCCAGTTTTTATGTTTTACTTAGGACATGAAATGGCAGGTAATCTCTCTAACTTCTGATGTATGCAATAAGTTTATAAGTAAACATTTGGTATGTGAGTATATCAGTGGCCAGTTGAAGAACTATTGGCCTGTCAAAAAGAGGTCTTTGCTTTCTAGCTATTTGCTGTCAGGAGGCCTGTAATTGCCAAAATTTTTTTAAGAGAAGCAAAAATCACAACTGTGAAATCTATCTTTGGCAACAAATTTTTTTTTTTCAAGCTTAAAAGCGTGGGCCAGATGAAACCCACTGCAGACCTTATTTACTTACGGTTTGCAACCTCTGATGTAGACTTTATTAGAAAAGGGTAGTATTGTTTAATCAAAAATGAGGTTATATATCACTTTTTAAGTGTGAAACATGGTAACTCATTCTTTGAAGGGGCATCCTTTATAGTATACCTAGCTCTGTTATAAAGATGGAGCAGGTTTCTTATGACGGCTTTTTCCAAGGACTTATCTAAGTAAATGGGGGACCTAGAGTGAAGAACAAAAATGATTGGGCTGTGTCTTTCAACTCCTTATTCCAAGGGAAGTTGGTTCTGATTCATATCAGGAAGCAGTCAAGTAGATAGACATAGGAACTATTTCATATTGTGAAGTCTGTTGTCCTAAGGTTAGTTGAGATAGTTCCTGCAAATCTGGCTGTTGCTGACAACAGAAGCTGACTCTGTTAAGTGGGAAAGGGATTATTAAATGATAAGAATCGCTGTTGAGAATTTTGGGGACAGACTCAAGGCTTCCAAGAGTGATGCCTAAAATCATGCTGTTAGAACTGGCCTCATGAGACGCTGTCCTGTGCTGTTCCATGAAGTGCTGGAGGAAATTGCCACCACAAATCCCACTTGACCTGGTCCCCCCTGCCCTCTCAGAGAGCCCAACACTTCAGCCATAGCCCTTGTAGCAAGAAGCAGAGCCACCTTACATTGTTCTTTTCTACATTAGCCTTAGGATGGTGTCTGGTAGGGCAGAGTCTAGTCACGCGCATATGTCTGAGCTGCAAGAAAGGCCAGGGATTTTGAGTTTTGATGTCTATATAGAGAGGCAGAACTTATGATGAAGTATTTCCCCAAATAGTGAAAGATTTTCCAAAATACAGGCTGTTAAGAATATGAGAAGATACCCCAAGATACATAACTCAGATCCCTTTTAGTATTTGAAATTCTGTTGTCTCAGGATTGTGGCTAGGTTTTTGTATTTAGGTAGGGTTTGAACTTGATTTTTTTTATCCTTTTCATTTAACAAACATCAGATGTCTTCCATGTCCTAGTTATTCTAAGCTCTGAGATAAAAATAAAAGATTCCTATTTAAATGAGGAACATAAGTAAATTAGTGGTAAGTGCCCTAAAAAGAAATGAATCTGATATATTGGGGTGGGGAAGGAGGATCTATCTTGGTTAGGTTAATTAAGGAGGACTCTTCAGAGACGACGTTGAAAACAAAACCTGAATGGTGGGAAGGAGTCAGTTAAAAAGGTCTGGAAAAAAATTTTATACTGGGAGAAAAGTATGAAGACCCTAAGAATTTTCAAGGAACCTCAGAGGCAAGTTTGGTTGAGAACAATTAGGGAGAGTGGGACAGGGTGAGGTTTGAATGGTTGGGAACAGGTTGTGTAGGATGCAAACCATAAGAGTTTGGTTTTTATCCTAAGTAAAATAATAGCTGACATTTACTGAGTACTTACTATGTTCTTTGGGATTTGAATCCAGATGCCTCTGGCAGAGGAGCCCATGCCCTAAGCTGCAGTGCTTATATTGACACTGAGTGAAACTTTGTAATCGCTTTCTATGTTTCCATGGCTGAAAAACAATGTATACACTGATGATCATGGAACAGAAAGAGCTTATATTCCAGATACAGTAGAAATGTCCTGTGATAACATTTGGTATGAAGACTTGTGTCTCCAAGGGAAACCCCAGGATGACATCTTGAGGAGCCCTCTGACATGGACATGTTACATAGTCATGTCAAGTTCAAGTTTGTAATGAGCAACTTAGGTCAAGGACAGTGAGAAGTGGAATCTCAACCAGTAAATGGAAGGGTTGCCAAGGGAGGGAGGGAGCATTAAGAAAAGGATATTAAGCCTCTTGAGAGGGGTCTGTTTACCCCCAAGCTTGTTTGTTTTTTTAATTAGCTGCTCCTTCAGAGAAAAGGGTCCTCTTAGAGTCCCCATGTGCTTGAGGTCAGGTACATGACCCAGTTTGCTCTACTCAGATTTCTTCTGTAGGTTGAATCTTCTCAAGGTTCCATGTTTATGACAAGGTAGCACGGTCCAGGTAAAAGTAAAATGTTGTCATTTGCAATCCTGCAGCTGCATTAAGCTCCAGGATCGTAAAACAAAAAACAAAGCTCCAGGATCATTCTGGACTCAATTTGGAAAATCAAGAGAACTACTATGATGTGGGAGAGGGAAAGTATTTCACAGATAAAATGGTAAAAGGGATTAATTCATACCTTTGATAAACTATAATTTCTGAAGCACTCAGAACGTGGGAGAAAAGTCAACTAAACCAGCCCAGAATTTGGGTGATAAATAGAATATCTTTTCTATCTACCTATGTATATTTTATTATAACATTTTCCTCCTTTTCCTTCTTGGGGGAAGCCCTCTGACAACTTCTTGGGGACACCTTGGTTTAAAAGGTGGCAGAGAAGGGTGATATTGATAGAAGATGTCTTGGGCATGATTTTTTAAAAAAAATTAGTATTCTATCCAATGCTTCTGGATGAGGGAGGCCTTAAATGAATTGGAATTTAACAGAAAGACGTTCAGTCAAGTTGAAAAACTTGACTCTTAAGTACAACAAGACTCCTGAGCAGGGCTTGCCATGTGTAAGAGCAAAGTGAAGCAGTGCTTTTAGGCATTTTAGACGTCTCCTGCTGAGACAGACTGTTGCCTGTCTAACAGCCTCCTCAAGGAGCTCCCACCTGCTTCCTCGCTAGCGGGTCTGAAAATGTCAGAGGCTTTCCTCTAGCCCCCACTGCAGATTCCGAAGCACCTATGCATCTAAGCCATTTCTACCTCCGAATATCGTTTGAATCTATCTACTTTTCACCATCTCCACTGCATATTGCATCCTAATCAAGCTATCTCTGTCAAATATATAGCTTTTTGGGAAATATATACACCCAATATTAATCACAACGCCCGGCTATTTCTTGGTTGCAGCCGTCAGTGTTGTTTGGCAGGTCCGGGCTGGATTCGATCCCGCCACCTTAGGTGTATGTGGCTGGCACCTTAGTCACTTAAGCCACAGGTGCTGAGCCAAGTTTCCAGTTTGTTTTCTTTTATCTATTAGAACTAGAACTTGAGTGATAGAGAACAGGCAATGGGGAAGCCATTCAGGTCATGCTAGGGAAACACAAATGTTTCATTCAAGAAATATGTAATGGGGTTCAGTGCCTGTAGCTCAGTGATTAGGGCAGAGGCCACATGCACCAGGGCTGGTGGATTTGAACTGGGCCAGGGCCTGCTAAACAACAATGACAACAATAACAAAAAAAATAGCCAGGTATTGTGGTGGGCACCTGTAGTCCCAGCTGCTGGGAGGCTGAGGCAAGAGAATTGCTTAGGCCCAAGAGTTTGAGGTTGCTGTGAGCTGTGATGCCATGGCACGCTACCCAGGGTGACATAGTGAGATTCTGTCTCAAAAAAAAAAAAAAAAAAGAAATATTTATTTGGCATTAGGAATGAGCAAGACAGCCATGAAGAAGGCAGACGTGGCTTCTGTTGGCACGGGCTTACATTCTAGTGGAGAAGAGAGAAGACAGATAATCAATTACAAAACGTGATTCCATGAAAAAGAAGGATAGCCAGACAAGACCTCTGATAAAGGACCGTTTAAGCTGAGAAGCCTGAAAGAGATTGCAGCAGCCCTGAGACAAGTTGGGGAGAGCATTCCAGGTAGCAGGAACAAGCAAGTGCAAAGGCCCTGAGGCTGGAAGGAGCACCCTGAGTTGGAAGACACAGAGAAACCGGGGAAGACTGGAGCGGTGTGAATGGGAGGGAGGAGAAGGCAGGGATAAGGTCCTGCAAAGCACTGTGGGCCGAGCTGAGGAGTCTGGATCTTATTCTAAGGGAAGTGGAAAACCATGGAAGGGTTTTAAGAAGGAGGATGCTGTGATCTTGTTTATAGATTTTAAAGACTCCTCTGGCTGCTTTGTGAAAAGGGGATATTATGAGGCAAGGGGATCTGTCGGGCTGTTGTAGGTACATAGGCAGGAGAGGATGGCAGCTCTATGTATCAGCTCTCTACTGCTGCTACAACAAATTACCAAGAGCTTAGTGGCCTAAAGCAACGCAGATTCAGTACATTACAATGCTGGAAGGCAGAATTTCTAAAATCAAGGTGTGTTCCTTTGGAGGCTCTAGGGAAGAGTTCATTCCTTGCTTTTTCAACTCCTAAATTCCTTATGTCACCCTCACTCCAATTCTCC